CATTAATATATTCCCATCTACATCATGTAAACATTTTATAGTGTTGGTATTCTGTCTATATTTCTCCAGTTTTAAAAAATAACTGGTATTTTTATCACCATCAACAGCCCATTTACACTTTGATCTGAACACATCTTCAATGGATATTTTCAAACGTACAACTCTCCCGTCATAACCCTCATACTGGATAACATTATTTTTCCATTTATTAGAAATAAGGAACGCAACTGGCTTTCTGTTATCTGTACTATTATCAAAAATAATTTTACCATTCCATAAGTGCTCTTTTTGATTAACAAAATTATCATCCCTAAATGTTTCCTGTAGAAATACAATACCACAGTAATTAATCTGATCCAGTGCAAAAACACTTTTAACTTGATCAACATCTCATTCACATTAAATGATACAAAACATAAAAAGCATAATAACAACAAGGAGCATTCAAGTGTTCTTAAGCTTTTTGGTTTTCTCTTTCTTTGGACGTTTATGGACCTTTCTAGAATCAACTCTTGATTTTAAAACTTCCCGCGAACGCGACATCGAACCAGTAACCAGAGCGTCCTCCTCGTCCTCTTCACTTACGTCAGATCCCTTGCTGTCCGACCACATTGCCCCAGAAATAGGTAGAGGAGTGCACGTGTTATCCAAATCAATGACGTCAGCAAAGCAAATGTCGGCACTAGCTTGGTCAGCACACTCTACCATGCCTGTGTCCTTTCCTAACTTTCCTGGTGCAGTAATGTTGGTATTACTTTGCAATTGCTCGACCGGAACATTCACCTCGGTACATTACCTTCATTACCTTCCCCATCACCAGCTGAATCTTGCAGTTCCTCACTGTTAGCAACTATCTGTTCGCTATTGTTACCAATACCACCATCGCATTCAACCATACTACACTTGCACGAATCCAAAGTTTCATTTTAAATTTATTACAGTGTTCACGGTTGCCAAAACAGATACAGTCAAACCGACTACACACCGTGCACAATCGCATGACATTGTCATGCCTCGGCGCGCGCGAACAATCATACTCAAATTTCATCTCACCACAACAAATACAAGTTGTACATGCACGCTTAAAATCTCCTTGGGCATTGCATCGGATGCACTTAAACTGAGGACACTGACGAAACAGGTGCTGGTCACAATAGCACAGAGTGCAAACTTTCACCTGATTGTCATACATTACTCGAAAGTAATCGTTCTCCGTCGCTTAATAGGCGAGACAATTTCAATATCAAGACTTTTAAGGTTTCCAACAATATCATCATCAAAGTATACGCAGGTAGATACAAGAAGCTCACCATCAGAAATCTCTTCGTTAAATCATAACACTCGTATGTCCTACATTAGCTAGCAATTCCTTGAAACAGCATGTTTGTCTTAGCACGACAATCGAGAGTGACCTCGTATAGAATCCCCGATTTCGGAACACATGCCAACACGGTTCCATCACCACACAGCTGAGTTATAGAATCAATTACCTTGCCAGCTTTCACAGCTTTATTGTCCAAAATATCAATACAAACAGTATTTTCCTTTAGATAGTGTCTTTTTCTAATTTGTCATCTCGCCCCGGTAAACACCGGTAATAACAATGTCTACTAAACTCAGGAAATACGATCAATTGTCACATAATTAGAATTTTGTCGTAAACCTGAATATCTAATAATCTTATAAATCACAAAATTAGGGTCTTACAACCAATGTTTGACGATTATTCACCAGGTAAACAAACAACGTCCATTGACCTTGAAATCATCACCGGAACTCATGCAAATGCTCTAACCACTGAGCTATGGAGGCGGTTGACAGATCCTTAAACAATGTTGATATAAATACATCAAATCAGTAAGTAACAATACCAATACTCATCAAGAACTCGCATGATCAGGGAAGATTTCAAGAAACAAAATATGTTTGGAAATAAGGTTGTTTGTTGAGGCTCAGACTATCGACTGGTGGCAGGAGACGGCTCTATATGAGACTCGGATTGTCCACAGTGGCAGGAGACGACTCTATGAGATGAGGTTAAGACTATCCGCCTCAAGTTTTTACCAGGAAATATTTCTTCTCCGAAACCGCATCTTGTCCCAATCCATATTGCCTGTGGCTTATCTGTATTTATCTTCAGACGAGAGACCTCGACTAAATCTCTTAAAGTTTTCAGAACCTATTTTCAATCTATTTTAATCTGGATTATCTGATAATGTAAACCAAGTATATATTAATATGGCATCATGATATGTTGTCAATAAGAGATACAAGGAAAGTTTAAATTTGTGCTTCCTAGTTTAAAAAATACGAGTATAATATGCTTTTGAATTCCAGATTCGGAAAAGGCAGGGTTTTCGCCGTATCTTCATCTGCTGTCCTTTCACGAAGGATAGCCTCAAACTCGTATTGATCTGTGTCTGGAAATGAGGACCAATGGACATGTTTATGTATTGATTGCAAAACAAGTTTACAATGAAATAGAGAGATGGAGAAATTATAAACATCTTTATATCGTGGTACATTGCAAATCAGTCATGGAGATACCATTCCACCTTACTTTACTATATTGTGTTGACTAAGACAATTGCGTTTATGTCCAATATTTAAAATAACCTAACCCTAACCCCAGTTATTGGGTTAAGGGTTATAATTAACTTAGGTTTTAGTAATAACATGCTTTGGTGTTATATTAAGTCTAACTATGGTCTTATTAATAATAAATAGTAATGATTAATTGATAATAGCCCGAAAAGGGATGGATGGTAATACTGAATTTGGGTTCTGGGACAAAGTTGTTATATCGGTATATGTGATGTAGACTAATTTGTTTATAGGCTATATTAAGCTAGAAAGGGCGTTCATTATATTAACATAATAAAAATTGTTGTCATTTCCAAAAATAGAAAAATGTTAACATCGTTCAAATCCTTATTTTTATTATTGGATATGAATGACACATGAATCTTTTGACGGAAATGGGCATATCGGTATTGGCATTTTCGTTAAACCAATATAGCCTGTCTCTAACGATAACCCTGAAAGAAGTTTACACGGCATCATACGACTGTAAAATGGACTCTGAACGCGTCTTACGCCTATGAAGACTTCTGTACATACCATATTACAAACGTTTCTAACCCTGTAGATTGGCTGAAAGGTTGCCTACAAATTATCCATAGCTCAGCATCGCAAAAGGAGCTCTCTTCTCGCGTCATCTCCTAGCCGCTAATCAACATTGTTCTCCATCGGTGCTGGTGCGATATTTCCACGATATCGCCCAGGTGAAAAGTCGGCTGTCTATAAACTCATCATTGTAGGAACAGTGTTTCCGCAACATCACTCGGGCGAGATCGCGGGGTGGTTTTAATCCCCTCTGCTCGCCTCGCTCATCGCTCCCGGAGCAGCATCACCGCACCTGAACTTAATCTTGTGTTTGTGACACATTACCCTGTCATGATATATTGTATTGATGACACATTACCCTGTCATGATATATTGTATTGATGACACATTACCTTGTCATGATATATTGTATTGATGACACATTACCTGGTGATGATGTATTGTATTGATGACACATTACCTTGTCATGATATATTGTATTGATGACACATTACCTTGTCATGATATATTGTATTGATGACACATTACCTTGTCATGATATATCGTATTGATGACACATTACCTGGTGTTGATGTATTGATGACACTTGACCTTGTCATGATATATCGTATTGATGACACATTACCTTGTCATGATATATTGTATTGATGACACATTACCTTGTCATGATAAATTGTATAAATGACACATTACCTTGTCATGATATATTGTATTGATAACACATTACCCTGTCATGATATATTGTATTGATGACACTTGACCTTGTCATGATATATTGTATTGATGACACTTGACCTTGTCATGATATATTGTATTGATGACACATTACCTTGTCATGATATATTGTATTGATAACACATTACCTGGTGATGATGTATTGATGACACATTACCTTGTCATGATATATTGTATTGATGACACATTACCTGGTGATGATGTATTGTATTGATGACACATTACCTTGTCATGATAAATTGTATAAATGACACATTACCTTGTCATGATATATTGTATTGATGACACATTACCTGTTCATGATATATTGTATTGATGACACATTACTTTGTGATGATAACATTAAACAAACTACAAATGATTAACCATTAGTAACGACGAACCTATCACAAAAAAACAATAAACATAAATCATTCCAATCGTACACAGGATGTTGAATCATTTTAAAAGGGCTGTTCACGCTAAATTACGGTAATGATATCACCGAACAATTTTAAACACATCGGAAGCGCCGATCAAATATAAAGGTACCCAGAACTCTGACCTATATTTCACTCCTGGTGTATACAGTATTAAAATAAGATTACAATCCCAATTTGATAGTACTTGGAATAGACACAGGTTTAATTACCAATAAACGTTGTTGATATGGAAAATGTTACCACTCCGTCTATACAAAATTGATTTCTTCCGGATTGGGAATCTTTTTACAAAACCTTTCCATTCTAATAGGAGTTAAAGGATTTGAACAAGTGTTTTAATATCTCCTATCATGCCCCCATGGGATTATTACACCGATGAATAAGTAGGTCACGTGATAAAACTACCAGATCTTCTCGTGGTCCAAAATGGCTGAACTCTATACACTACATGAATATAATATTACATAAAAAAGATATTTTGCTAGACCAGTCTGACTTCTTTAACAGTGAAATTCGTCTTTTGATAATTTTCTTTGCATTGCTCCCTTTCGGGTGAAATTATTGGACTGGAACATATGTGTACTCGTGCATCACAAGTAAAGAACTCTTACCGCTGTACACACGTAACTGTTATGACTTGCATTGCTACACACATGTAGAATGATATGCGTGAACATACTTTAAGCACCTCTTTGGGACTAAGATAGACATACAAATATGACGGCAAATACAAATAGAAAACAATGGAGCAGAAAAATAGAATACGTTTTAACTATACTCGGATTTCTAATGGGATTTGGCAATCTCTGGAGGTTTCCATACATTTGCATGAAAAATGGCGGCGGTAAGTAGTTTTATGCACTTAATGTTAAATGATCTTTTAACTAGAAATTAAAAATTCGCAAGAGTGATACTACAATTGGAGTAATCAAGTTAAGCAGCTGATATTGGGATTGAGATCAATACGCCTTGCCTTTGTAGGTGAACATACAATTGTATATTGTAATGTTTGTTGTGTGCTCAAATAGAAAATGTAGTTTGTCAGTATCTACTCCAACAATAACGTCAGCTCATCCAAGAGCATTGTATGTTTGCTTCTCGTTCAACAGCAAACAACGAAAATTGCCTCATAATTGTGCATCTATTTGTGTTGATAAGATATACGAATACCATATTGAAGTATATCACAATACGCAATCTACTGGCGGTCTTTCAGATATACAGTTAGATATATATGGCAAAAGATACCTATATATGTGTGAGCGATTTCATATTATAGTCAGTGACAAATATATCTTTACAGGGGCTTTCCTGATACCCTACTTATTTGTCATTTTCATCGTTATAATTCCGGTGTATTTCTTAGAAGAATCTCTTGGTCAATTTTCCGGAAAATCGTTCAGGAATGTTTGGAGCTATTGTCCACTAGTGAAAGGTAATATTTTTTGAAATAAAAAAACACTTTACCAATTCAAAATGAATGCCCCGTTTCACCAGATTCAACATGTGTTGGAAAGTCCACCTACTAGGCTTATGCTGTTTCATTCTTAAAATAAATGTTTTCGGTTTGCTGATTGCATACAAATACAACTTATTTGATTTTATCTTCGAAAATATTTTTCCTATATTCTGTAAAATAAGTGTAAAATTTATGCATTATTTTGCAACAATTTTGGATCATAGTTTTTTTTTATTCTTGTTTTATCATAAGAAAATTCACGCTTACATTTTTACATTCAGGATATGCTTCTTTCCAGTTTTATATTAAAGGATACTGATATTGATTAGGGAGCAAGTTTTCAAACATATTGTATTCCTTGTATAGGGCTTGGATTGGGTATGCAGGTGATGTTGGTGCCATCAGTATGCTATTACGTGATGTTAATGACGTGGGCGGCATATTATCTGTATTCTGCTTTCCACAATCCTTTACCTTGGAGTACCTGTGCAAATGAATGGAACACGGTATACTGTTTTAACATCGGTAATACCACAAATAACAGACTAATGAATTCTACCAATGATATCAATGATCTTAAACTTGTGCAAGACCAGGTTACATCAAGTACAAATACGAGCCAGACGAGCGTGACATTCCCAGTAATGAAAATCCAAAATGCAGCAGAAGAATTCTGGCAGTGAGTGTTGCTAGTGTTGAAATCGAGAGAAATATCAATATGTCTGAAAGAAAACGAAAGAAAAAATAACTGTTTTGTCGTATCTATGTTTAAAATATATGTGAATCACAAGTACTAAGAGAGGTCATATTAACGCTTGTATTTAATGGGTAGATCATTGAATATCAAACATTGCGATCAATCCGAAAGTTTGTGAATCAATTGTAATAATTTCACAAATGATTTTAACATATACAAGATTACCATTTTGACTCAAACTTATAAACACACACACTTTCGTTACCAATAATCGCAACAACTATTTTTAAATGGCTTATGAGCCATGAATCGTTTGTTTTTTTAATACAAAATCATAATTGTAACACCATGTTTCAAGAGTGAAATGAAATTTGATGACTACCAATTGTTCGTCATGTTTGCGCATGGCCTCATTAAAACAATGTTTTAACTTGGTTTGAATGTATAAACTATTCAATTCAACTTATGTAATTTCAGATATAATGTGTTGGATATATCCACCGGAATAGAGTACTTCGGTTCACTCAAAGGCCACATTGTAATTTGTTTAGCACTGATTTGGACTGTAGTCTATCTGTGTGTCATCAATGGTATCACGTCTACAAAGAAGGTAGGATATAGTTGGGAACATAGTTCTTCCGTCTTAACATATCTTTATTAATGCGGAAATTTCAGACGTTAGAGCGATATGCATGAAAAGCAAACCGTTTGGATTTTATCATTCGCATGTTTTAGAAATTGTTGGCGCAAGCGTGAAGTTCGTTCATTTCAACATGAAAAAACAATGCGATATGCGTTCAAAGGGCATGATCTTACATGTGAGTGATCATACCAAAATACATACCATACAATAATAATTTATATATGTAAACAATCCATGTACTAGGTAGTGTACGTGACAGCAACTATTCCATACCTGCTTCTTACAATCCTGCTCGTCCACAATCTGACGTTACCGGGATCTTTCGATGGTGTCGTCTTTTTCATAAAACCGGATTTCAAGTCACTTTTGAACATACAGGTAAGTTATTCGTAGGCATGAAAGTTCGTAACACACTTTTAAAATAATTATTGATCGTATCTATCGGATAATAAAATATCACAAATAGATGATAGACGAATTATAATGATGTTGAAATATTTATAGGATATAGGTGCAGTACTGAGAGAGATATGTAAACGCAAATGTGTGTGTGTATAAACGGTTAGAAGGTTTTAATGGGGAATATTTCATATCCTTATTCGATTTGGTGTTGAAGATGTTTGATGTTCGATAGAATACCTGTTGGTCCCTTTATTATTCACACCTGTGACATTACTTACTTTGATTGACCGATTTTTTGGGTGTTGTTGATGAAGCAGAAAACGCTCATTGTTCTGTAACACCTAGCCGTATTTGTCCATTACATTTTTAAGGGTCTCTATCGTTGGTTTGTTTATATGTTTTGATCTGAGGCTTAATTAACCATCTCTTTTCATTGATAGACAGCTATTTTACAGTCATGTCTTGGTCATTTGCTGTTTAAAAAAAATTGCCTTATTTCTAGGGTTTGTCAATGTTTCGACTGTAATTATCAACGCTGGACTGTTATTTCCTTCAAAAAATTTTCATTTTTTTCTACTTGTTCTCTTTAATGTGGATCTTTCGCATCAGTTCCATGTACTTGTGTACTGATTCTGATACATTTACGAGCATTATTTGAGAGTTAAAAGAGTCCCTTGGTATTCACTGTTATTATTCTAGACAACAAATCCGTTTTATTCTTATATATGTTGAGAGAGAGAGAGAGAGAGAGAGAGAGAGAGAGAGATTCTTAGAATTTGTGCTACAGTTACTGATCGTTAGAGTAATAACTGTTAAAAGCGTTTCAAAAAAAACTTCAAGGTTTTCCAAGAAAGTTTAAATCGTACTTATTTAATTACTATTGGCATTTTATTTACAAAGTTACTAAGTAGAATGGATTCGAATATCCATGGTTGCGTGCTAATGCATTTTATTTTACCTAGTTATTTTTCCCCCAGTAAATTTAACATTTCGTTGATCTAGTAATGAACACTTGTATGGATGAAAAAAACGTTTGTGAAAGAATATTTAATTAAACAAAACCTTGCATGAATGCATTGCGCTACATTTTAGGTTTGGTTAGAAGCTGCAATACAAGTCTTTCATTCGATGTCTATCGGAACTGGACTGCATATCACATTGGCGAGTTACAACAAATTTAATAACGATTGTCTCAGGTAATATGACAACACGATGAGCCTATGTCCTTCGGTAGTTTAAACATTCAAATACATTTTTGAGATAAAGTGAGATTAGATACATTATTTTCCTGCATGTAACGAATATTACAGTACTCCATTACAATTTTTCCCTGTTTAATTCGACTTACTTCTGTTTTTCGCATCAAACAACTAATAAACCAAGATTAAATGTTGAGACTATCTTAGTACACATTTTGTAATGCATACATATATAGGTATATTTAGTCACAAACTGTAGAGTTATGAAACCCTGACTGCAGAGATGACTACTGTCGAATGAAACCAACACCTATCATAGAGTCATATCCAGAACCATAAAACTTTGCTTTGCCTAAATCAGATAAAGGTATATAGTGCAGTGACATATTGTTTTAGGTTCATTGAAGTTAGAAATGAAAAATAATCGTATAAATATCACCTTTATGCAATGAAATGTATCATCCGGATTTCTTATCTAATTCACACACTATTCATATCGATTGGACAACTTTAATGATCGACAGTCACCAGTGTTGATAGAAATTAAAATTTACCTGTATCACACAGCTCAGCTCCTTTGCTCTACTTGGCAATACTTGTTAGTCAGTAATGCACCGGGTCCAAGATAATAATGAAACCTACACGGTGTACGAAGAGAAAGAAAATATATAAATAAGTTATGATTACGTTACAGTTGATCTGTTACAGGTTATACGCCAAAAATCAACAATCCAGAAACCCCTTAACCCCGATAATTTTAACAAGAATTGGTAATGTCTAGACTATTGTTAGTCCACGGTAGTTAACATCATGAAACAAACTTTAGTAAAGTTGTATAAAACATATTCATTCGTTTGATCCATTTGAAGAATTATAGTTATTCTAGTCATCACCATGTGATATTACCAAAATGATATAAATCATTTATAGACCAACACTATGGAAAAAAAACACTTGCAATATTTCGGTTCGTGTACGTGGTAGGGACACATTACAAGATATATAATTTGATTCATACATAATGACAGACATTTGAAGCGAGAAATAATGACGGTTCCAATGACAAAATGTGCTCAGTAATCATACTGTACTTGTATATCAATTTCATTGATTAGTTTATCGTTTTGCAATACATTTCATACCATTGATCTTGCGTAATCTGTGTTTCTTTCAGAGATGCATTTGTAATGACCCTTGCTGGAGAGGCTTTGACCAGTCTCTTTGGTGGATTTGTTATCTTCACGGCGCTCGGATTTATGGCTCATCAAGCAAACGTTTCTATAAAAGAAGTTACAAATTCTGGTAAGTCATTCAGATATATTTGATGTAAAGTAGCATAAAAACGCTCTGATAAATCGATAATTTCATTCACTTGTGAACTCTACTAAACCCTTTATCTCCTTTGAAAACAATTACCGTTTATTCATCTTATTCTAGTTTACAATTGTCTAAAAATACAAAACATGACATCTTGTTATTCATAAGATATAAAACTATTACACAAATCATTTTAAATATATTTTTTCTCTAACACAATCAAATCAAATAAAACTATTCAAGTATCTTTTGTCATTTTCTGTCGTTAACAGGCCCCGGATTAGGTTTTGTGGCCTATCCGATTGCGTTAGCACAGATGCCTCTCTCAAACATATGGGCAGTATTGTTTTTCTTTGCTATGGTAATACTAGGAGTGCACAGTCAGGTAAGATTTGTGTCAGGTCATGTCGACCTACTACGTGGGTAGATGAAATTAATTCCAGTAAGTCTGGTATTTACGGTTTATAGTTCTTATCGGTGGCTTGCATACCAACAGTTCTACCTGGCCTCTTTAAGCATTCATGCAAGTAATACATTTTAACCTTGTACTGAATACTAAATACACACAAATGAAAACACATTTAATGCAAATTTAGATGTGAACTGAACTAAATAAGTAATGTTCGAAATCTAAATTTTGTTTTGATAGCTAGGAGGTGCCGAAGGAAAATTCGAAAAAATGAACATCTAAACTTAAAAACGAGATGAGGAGATCACGTGCTCACTAACTAATAAGTTTTGAAGATTCATACTGTCGTGAGATCGCACAAAGTTACGAGGTTTGCACGATGTGCGCATGATCAGAAAACAGGACGTAATTAGCTATCGCACATTTGTGTGCACTCAGATATAAGATTCTGTCGTGGTTGCTATAAATTTAGAAATTAAATTAAGTGCGGGATAGGGTTTATTTATTAATTTACTTAATATACAGTACAACCAAATATAGTACCCTTTTAGGTCATTAATATATATATGTTGGACACTTGTAGAGCTATCAAAATATACGGACTAAATAGTAATATACACTCGTAATTTCAAGTGCTACACGTAACCAGCCTGAGTGCGTGCACGCATTATATATACATTATATTCACATTAAATGGACGTTTCTTTTTGCCTCGGCAATCAACCATCTAAAATCTTGTAACGTAATACTCCTGTATTAATCTCATTTTTCATTTTGTAAACAAAAAGTACATAAAAAATTTAAGCGTTGTGTTTGTTACACGGGCGACCCAGCCAGTACGGATCCAGATCTGTCACGTATATACCCGTATGCAGGTAAATTTTGCTGCCCGAGGCATACTACTCGTCACTCCATCAGGTGTGAAACATTATACGGACAGCCTTATTCAATGCAGGGTCCAGTGTTATTTCGAAAACTGTTGTATGATAATTACTTTTATAATCCCTGACTAATTCAGTATTACTAGGATCGGTATTTAGAAACGATCATATAGCACTGCTGTGCGCACGAATTTGTATAATGCATGTATGCACACAATGTGCGCACAAAGTGTGTGTTGCGTTTTACGTCACAACTGTGATTTGCATAGATCTGATTATCATTCAGGAATAATGTCAAATGCATTATGTATATCCTGAGCTATATAGCTATTCTAATTAGTTAAAATTTAGCATGCAGGTTAAACTTCTACCATCTGTAATCTCGACGATTATGCAAAGATAAAGCATGTGGATAAACCAATTCATACAGATTTAGAATAATGTAAAGTCAAATAACGAATTAAACATCACCATATACATGTTTTATTTTCCAAGGACTCGTCCATAATGTTAAGGGCCAAAAGTTCGAAATCCAATAGGCGACGAAGGGAAATCTAGGTGTTAATAGTAATGACAAAATGTAAAGGAGGCTATGAACTAGCCCCGATATGTAAAAAAAATCGTATCTGTTATACATCTGGGAATTTGATATATCTGTTTGTCTATTGTGCAATGCTGTGGCCTCTACTTAACTGATTGAAAGTGTGTTATAAATACACACACTGAGACAAATAGTCTGTAACTTTCTTACTTAGATAATTTCAACGATAGCTTAACAAAATGTCGTAATTTCATTTTTTAAATAATTATTGATCCAAGTACTCTTCGATGTCTAAACGTTGTGTATCCCAAATATTAAATATCTGTTCAAAATTATTTATTCTAATACGATTGTTCAAAACATGCATAAAACGGCGTTACTATTATCATATGATAATGGTATAGGCGCATAATAACAAATCCAAAACACCATGTCTTACATATACAACGTAAGCATCTTCTCAAGACGTTTTTCTTTTAACAATAGTTCATAATCATGTATGTGTTGGTATTGATTGGTTGAAACTATAGTTGAACTGAATCAGCGTTCAAAGGAAGCACAAGATATAAGCCATTTTTCAATTTGATATATGGATAATCGGCCGAGTTATGACGATTTTAATTATGTGGTTCGCGTATTGTAATTTCTGGTGAAATGAAGTCAATTTGTGATTGTAGGGTTGTATTTGTAAAAATGTTGAACAACGTCATAGGCACCAAAGGACGAGATATCTGTATATATCTAATTCGAGGTTGACAGCTTGTCACATTGTACGGAATAAGATATTCCTGTGAGCTGCAATGATAGTTTATTCCATCAAAGCAAAGCATCATTGAACCCAGTGCGCATAGGCTTTTTAGCGGCAGTAATTTGATGACTTTTTAAATGTTTTGGTTCCTTAAGCGTTGCAACACACCAGTCGATTGACAAAAAAATTGTATCCCACAAGTCTTTGTTTCAGGTATTTAAATATTCTAGCTACGACTTAGTACATTAGCAGTATGATCATTAAAGTTTAATGCATGGTACGCACGAAGTTCCACTTTGAACTGTGAGGGACTTTATTATTATCTGTTGATACAGACCGTCCTCTAACCCAAATTTGCATCGCGAAAAAGACACGCACATTGACAGAAGAGAATGAAATGTTTCATTGGTATGATTAAAATAACATTTTATACATAGTTACAGTTATATGTGCAGAATTTGACGATGTTAGAATGATTATTATGTCGAATTCAGGTACTATATTGGTAAACTACATACGGCATATAAAGCTCAGGCCATAGACAACGGTCACCATGTTTGACCTTGTAACTTATTGCCAAAACACATTTTTCACCTTTATTGCTTATATGGATATCTGAATTCCGATAAAATCATTTCAACACGGCCGCAATGTCAAACAGTCCTTAGATGTCGACAAATCGCGGGAAAATTAGTCCAGCATCCACAGTTATATATATTTTGTTTTCATTGATGAGAATAATTCCAAAATATAGGATGTAAAGATAAGTACTATTACGTAGAAAACACTTAAACAATGCGGAGATCAATTTCCATGGTGAGTACGTATTCATATGCAATGTATGCTTGCCAAAAAGAAAACTAAACCTAAAATGTACCGAGCCTGGATAAAGTATATTAAATTCCGAATCCTTTCAAATATGAATGAAACTTTTAAATACACACGCCTGAACACAAAAATGGCTTCCTGCCTGAATCGGTAAGCGATTAATGTATTTCGTAATTCTGAACAGATTTAGAGTTAATAAATAAACTTTGCCACACCTATAATAAAATCCGATGTTGAAAGATTGAATTTTACTGACTGTCACTATTGTCGCTGTCATTTCTTCTTACCATCATATGTTTAAATTTTCAATACGTTGTCAGCTCTAAATTTGAGAGGGGTTTCTCGAACCAAAGTAGTAGTCAAACTAGACGTTTGAAATCAACTGTGACTTTCGGGATAACATAGAAACGTAATGTATAAAACATTTATGCGCTTCATTTGTGTGTTTATACATGTAAGGACGTCTATTCCATTAATAGAAGTTGTTTTCCTTCTCTTTTCTAGTTTACGTCGACGGAGCAAGCCTACAATTATTTTGAGGAATGCTATCCGTTCATGGCAAAAAAACCCAAAATTTGTAGAGGATGTTTATCGCTGATTGGCTTTGTACTTACTCTTCCATTTTGTACACAAGTAATGTCTTATTTCATCTATTTGACACGGAATACTATAATGCCAGCTATTATATCTTTCGAATCAGACTTAGCATGATGCCGTGTCCTTGTAACGAGTAGGCCTACCTAATCTCGATGAGAATAATGTTCGAGTTTGAAGTTGCCATCGAACTACCGTTATTTTTTTTTATTCATCAATAACAATATCAATGGGAAAATTGATAATAATTTCTTTTTCCAATGAAATCAATATCTTGTTAAATCTTGGTCATAGTAAATGATAACTGGAGTACAGTTTATCTTTAAAGGAAATGCGAAGGAAAATTTGTTTTGTATCATTAACAAAACTGTTAGATAGAGCATAAACTACTTTTATACTCAATTCAACTTTGTCTCTCTCGAAAATACAGTCATACATACACAGTGGAGGGAGAAAACCAGTTAGCCTAAAACAAGACCCACTTCTCGAAAGCAGACAATATTAGCTATTATGAAATAAATATTGTATTGCGTTTATTCTTAGAATTTGTCGGTGAACGTGTGTACAGTTTATTCTGAAATGTGAAAAGAGCCGGCTATGCACAGGATATTATAAGAATATAAAGTATTTCGTATAATTTTTTTTATGTAATGAACAATAACTTTATATTTCAGGTAGGGGTATACCTCTTTCAGTTGTTTGATTGGTATAATGCCGCATTTGCACCGTTATTTTTCGTATTAGTAGAATGTATATCGGTAGCCTGGTTGTATGGTAAGTAGATGAAAAGTGCTGAAATAAATTATCATAAAATATTTAGTTTGTATACTTAAAAGTAAACGCACTGTAAGTTCCAGATTACGCCGAGTCTTGAGTACCTCCATATTTGTCACAGTTGTAGAATTGTTTGTTCACCCTACTACGGTATAATTATGCCGTCTCTGATGTGGATGCATGTACATTGATGTTTTAAGGAAGTTGACATGAACGTTCCCAGATTACTTGACTCGGCATGACTTGTTAAATTCCGAGAGTATCTGACTGACATTCATAATCACAAATATGGTTAATTGGTATATATATTATCCTATTCATTAAAC